GACTGCCAGGGATAGTAGAGTATACTTAATATACAGGGTGTCCCACATCAATTCGGATCGTTTATGGTTCTAAATTGCGTTTTTCGAGAGAAATTAGAAATTTTAGAAAGATTAAATTAATTTTAAAAATTGTATACGCCTACTATTAAAATTTGAATGCATAAAACACTAGGTTTTTCGGGTATTAGGTACGTATTTCAGCATTAAACCTAGAAGATAATCCAATATGATATGGGACGCTCTGTACATGGACTGCCAGGGTAGTAGAGTATACTTGATATACATGGACTGCCATGGTATAGCATAGTACACTTAATATACATGGACTGCCAGGAATAGTAGGGTATACTTGATATACATGGACTGCCAGGGATAGCAGAGTAAACTTAATATGCATGGACAGCCAGTGATGGCAGACGCTAAACTCCAACCTTAGAGTGTGCGAGGTGGGGAAGACTTCACTGCCGCGCTTAATTAAAAGCATGATTAAGGAAGGATGACATTTGTAGATCGAGATTGAATCCTAGCAGCAGTGCTCGGCCCAGAAAATGTCATAACTTAACCTAACCCGTGGCCGCAGTGCTCGGCCCCCTAGCCTGTCCTAGCCGTAGCGCTCGGCCCAGAAAGTTTCTTAACCTAACCCAACCCTAAATAAATACTAATTTAATTGAAAATTGTTGAAAAAGTGGTCATGTACAAAAGTAAAATCTGAAGTGAAGTCTTCCCCACCTCGCACACTCGAAGGTTGGAGTTCAGCGTCTGCCGCCAGTGATATAGGCAATCTCCCAAGGAAGTTACTTTTTATGCAAAGTTAATTCTTATAATATACAGTAAAAACTAGAATAATCGGAATGAAAGTCTTCCTTGTTCAGTTTTGAAATCAAGAAAGTCGCGATAGAGTTTGTAAACTCAGTTTTAAATCTAAAACTAAGCCATTTATATCACATTAATTGATCTATCATTCGTCAGGGTTCATAAATGTAAAATTTTTAGCAATGCTTTTGGTAAAAAAATTACCAAAGACGACTTAAAATCCGCTTTATTCTGGTTAACACTGTATATGTGCATATTATTTTACTGGCATACCTTCAAAAAACTTTATCTGGAACACTTTGCTAATTGTAAACACAATTTCTTTTAAAACACAAAGCCCTGACTTGTTGTGCTACCGAGACAGTTCCCATTTTAATTTTTAAGAAAAATCTGCCAAAAACAAAACTAATACCAATTAATTCATAGTTTTTTTTAATATTTGCGAACGTCCCCTTTAAGTGAACTAAATAATTTAGCTGATGTGAGGTATGGTTAGTAAACAACAAGAAATGTTTTCCATTTTCCCACATTTTCAAATAAATATTTTAGTATAAACTTGCAAATATTAACTTATTTGTTACTAAAGGGACTCCCAATATATTGTAATATGCAAGGAGTGTTGAATAGAAGGAGGGGGCGATTGGGTTTCCGTACACTTTGCTGTGACGTTTTTGGACTGCTGAAGAACTATTTTTTGCGTAACAACAATAATAAAGATTGTAAACAATAACACAAATGATAAACGGACCTGTAATAAGGTCCTTTTCGTAAAAAAACTAAAATCCTTAACTTTTTCAAAAAGATTGAGATCTTTTTTTACAGTTTACTAACTCATGTTTGTTTACATTAGATCGGCTGCCTTTGTTATTGTTGTTACGAAAAAACTAGTTCTTCAGCAGTCCAAAAACGTCCCAGCAAAGTGTACGGAAACCCTATCGCCCCCTCCTTCTATTTAATATCTCTTCTCACAAACAAAGGAAGTGCTTAATTGTTGATTTTAGATTTTTTGTAGCTAAAAGGTCTGTTCACTTACAGGATAATAGATTATTTGCAGCTAAAGGGTCTGTTCACTTACTGGATAATAGATTATTTGTAGCTAAAGGGTATGTTCACTTGCAGCATAATAGATTAATTGCAGCTAAAGGGTCTGTTCTTACAGCATAATAGATTATTTGCAGCTAAAGGGCCTGTTCACTTACATCATAGTAGATTATTTGCAGCTAAAGGGTCTGTTCACCTACACATAATAGCTTATTTGTATATTTAAATACTAGGAGTAGGTGTATATGTATATTAAAATACTAGGAGTAGGTGTATATGTATATTAAAATACTAGGAGTAGGTGTATATGAAATACTAGGAGAAGGTGTATATGTATATTAAAATACTAGGAGTAGGTGTATATGAATATTTAAATACTATGAGAAGGTTTATATGTATATTTAAATACTATGAGAAGGTGTATATGTATATTTAAATGCTAGGAGTAGGTGTATATGTATATTAAAATATTAGGAGACGGTGTATATGTATATTCAAATACTAGGAGTAGGTGTATATGTATATTCAAATACTAGGAGAAAGTATATGTATATTTAAATTCTAGGAGTAGGTGCATATGTATATTAAAATACTAGGAGTAGGTGTATATGTATATTAAAATACTAGGAGTAGGTGTATATGTATATTAAAATACTAGGAGTAGGTGTATATGTATATTNTGCATTATTTAGGATAGAAAGGGGTTGGTTTAGTGGAATTGAGAAGAGAGGTATATATGGGGAGTGGGAAGGTGGAGGGACTGGGTAAAGAAGGAAGAGAAAAAAGGGATGGTCAGTGATTAAAGGATGGAGATAGAGGAGAATGAGAGAGTATGATCGGGAGGGGGAGGGGATGGTAAATAATAGAATGGAGTGTGACAGTATGACAAAGGGTAGTTGAAGGATGGGGTGGGTTAGTGTAAAGGTGAATATACATAGAAAGGAAGGTTTTGTAGAGTTTAAGGTAGAAGGAAGAAAGGAAGGAAGGAGAGATTTAATCGAAAATTTCAGGTTGTTAACACCTTTCATTCCTTTCCATTAACACTAAACTATTTGTTAGCTAATTATTTATTAACTTATTTTTCATTCTCTTTATATATTCATACATTTAGCAATTATTATTTCTTGAATTTTTAACAGACTTTAAATATATATAAGTAATATAAATATATATAGAATTTACAAAAGGTTTAAGTTTTATCAATATCTTGAATTATAAACTATCTGTCAAGTTTGGTGATAAAACTTTGAATAAAATTCATCCATTTTTCAATCATTCGTTTTTTTTCCTTCATCTTTTTAAAACTCCATCAGAAGTCTGGAAATATATCTATCTATCTATCTTTCATCGATCTATAAATCGACCTGTCTCTTTATCTATCTATCTATCTATCTATCTATCTATATATCTATCTATCTATTTATCTATCTATCTATCTATCTATCTATCTATCTATCTATCTATCTTGTCGTTAATAATGATTAATGGTTATATTATTCTGTAGGATCTGTAGTTAGTTCTCTGTCCGGCCTGGCACTTCATGTGTTTCCTTTTCTTCACAGTTTTTCTTATTGTATCAACTTTTTCTCTTTCTCTTCTTTTCTTCTTTTCATTCTAGTTTTTCTTATTTTCTCCACTTTTTCGCTTTTTTCATATTTTTCTTTTTCTTTTATACATTTTTATTCTTTTTCTCCAACTCCAACCTAAACTGACACTTTTTCAGCTGGACAAAATTTTACTACCAAACTCCTTCATAAAGATCCAGATTCCAGATAGCTATGAAAATCAAACTACAATTTTTGATTGTACATTACCAAATTTGTTAAGGATTATAGGAAATTGTAGAAATGAATAAGAGGCAAAATATTGATAGATTTTCTGCGACATCGTTCACATTTTGGTTCAATGTTCACAAATATTCATCTTTATAAAGTAAAGGAATCTTTGCCACAAACTTTGATTTTTTAAGTTCTAAACCTTTGCAACCTAATGTCGTGGACCTTTCAAATAATCTAAGTTTGAAACTTATATCCTGAAGGTTTACACCACCAGGTTGCAAAGATAAAGTGATAAGAAAAAATGCGTTTGTGACATAATCTCGATTCCATTTAGGGAATTTTCTCAAATAAAATTTCCTTATTTAGAAATATTCCTGGATCCCTGGAAACTAATTTTTTCCTCAAATCTAGTCTTTTCATCTTTCTTATTTCTCCTTATTTTAGGTTTTCTTCTGTCATCTTTACACAATCTTTGAATACTGTTATAGTCTTGATTGCCAGATTTTGTTTTATTTTCATTTAAACGAGGAATTCAACATTAATTTTCAAACCTTTTTTATATGTTTTTAGTAATTCCAATATATTTCAAATATTTCAAACTTGACTATTTGATCCTAATCACATCAGAGATGGAATTTAAAGAATTTGAGCCGCGGTTTAAATCCGCCAAAATCCGCCAAAACCCGGTTTGAATTTAGTGCCGGCTTAAATCTTGAAACATTTGATACAATTTTAAGTGGAACCAACCATATTTAAGCCACGGCTTAAATTTAAACCGCCGCTCAAATTCTTTAAATTCCATCTCATGTTGCAAAGATATAGGAATTAGAGACTTGAGTGTTGACTTCCTTGTATTTTATATTTATACTTATATTATATTATTATATTTATACTTATACTATATTTTATTATATTTTATTTATACTTATGGATTTAATTTTACTTGTTACCCTGTTCTGTAATTGAACCGATGATTTCCAAAAAAAGGAAAAAGCCTGATCAAATGTTTAAATTAGCTTTTACGAGCTTAACAAACATTTGAAAAGTTTGAGCTAACTTGCATTTGACTGCACTGAGATAGAGAGAATTCTGAAAGTTAGCCATCAAAGGAATTGAGATTTGCCACAAACATAAATTTTCAAATTCTTATATCTTTGCAACCTAATGATGTAAACCTTTGATATTTTATGCTTAGATTTTTATACCTAACATAATTCATGAAATATCTAAGGTCTACGACATTGGGCTGCAAAGATATGGGATTATAAAATCAGAGTTTGTGGCAAAGACTCAATTCCTTTGTAAACAGCCTTGACTTTAAAGTGTCACAAAGCTTTGGCCTTTGGTTTTACCTCACCAACCTCAATCATACTTTTTTGTAGCCCTAGTTAAACAAAAATATTTTCAGATTGATTTATGTTGAATGGTGATCGCTGGGGACTGATTTGAATTCGTTCCATTATTCCCTAATTTACTGATTTCAGCAGGGATCAGAGAAAGCGAAATTGGCAGAAAAATCTCAGTGATTACTCAGTGTACAATTGATCAGGGGAAAAACATCCTTGATTGATCAGATCAATAGTGATTTCTAACTTGATCAGACTACAGTGAATCATGGTACTGGCGAAGAACTGTACAGTTAGTACATGAAGATTGTACGTTTCAAGTTCATATGAAAGCAGAAAAGTTTCTTGTTCAACGTTGAGAATCAATTCAGTATTTGTTCTGATCCACGGAGGTGAGAGAAACAATAATAAAATTATAAGTAATTATTTTAAAAAGAATAGGAAAAGAAGGGGAAGGGGGGAGATATCTAATCGAATCAATTGATCTGAATTGGATAACTTTAATGCCGATCGCTTAATCTGAATATCCACTGTGGACACTTTTAAATTCTGCTTGATCCGCTCTATTTTATATCCCTACCGGATTCCGACCAATAAGAGCTCTCTCATTGAACGACGCGCAAAATATCAAATTTCCCGGCTTCTTATCGGCTGTTCGGGTATCTGCATACGCTACTCTTATTAGTTGATTTTTATACACTTTTTTGGATGGAAACTAAAGATTAAAATATTCGTAAGATTAACAAAAGAGGGATTAAGCATTGATCTCAATATCCACAATTCTAAAGTTTTCAGCTCAGTTTTTAATTATCATTTAAAACATCTATGTTCAAAAAATCTAAAATTTCCCGATCGTCAAATGCTTTATTTAAGTCTAAACTGTAGCTTTCGACCTGAAACAATTATTTTTCTATCAATCAAGATTTATAAATGTCCACAAAATGTTTCACTATCCAATATCTGTAATCTTTCTTTTCCCTGAAATGTGAAGTTTCCTGTTTCCGGTTGTTTGACTTAAAGAGAGTGTTCACTATTTTATAAAAAGTTCATTTATTAACTAATCTTTTTTTATTTATTTTTTATTTTATTTTATATACGATGCTTTTTGGAGGAGGATTTTATTTCTCGATATTTCAGGAATTTCACTAAGGAGAGACACCTAGCGGACAAAAAATCGTCTTCTGAAATACATCGTTTATAAAAAATAAATAAGAAAGATTATTTAATTAAGTCCGTTCTTATTCTTATGATATTCAAGCTACATAAGGATGCCCAGAGTTAAATTTGACAATTTAGAACTTAATAAATGAATGATTAGTTTTTTTAATTGCATTATATACAGTCTGGGTAAGATAATGCAACTCGGGGAATCCTCTTTTAACCAAATGGTTTATAACCATTTTCTCCTTATGGACGCAACAGATAGAAGTAAAATTAGCAGTGATCGATATCGATTACAATTCTAGATCAGCCTTTACCCCTTTCAATTTACGCAAAAACTCCCTTTATACTGAACACTGCTTCTATAGTTGTTTCTTCAAATACCCTTTACGAAAATTCCCCATTTTAGCGAGTAAACTATTTCTATAAATTTCTAATTTCAGAGTCCTGGCAAACTTCATGAAAGGCTTCCAGTCAAATTTACATGGCGAGAAATGTTCTGATAGTAATAGGTCAGTTATCCTTTCCAGTTTAACAAACTTCACATAAACTAACAAAACGAACAAAAGTTTATACGATAGAAATTGAGTCTTTGCCACAAAATCAAATTTTCTCATCCCTATATCTATGCACCGTGATGACAGTTAACCTGTGATATTTCAAATTTAGATTATTTAATATAACAGAATACCTAGATTGAAATATATTTATTGGGTTGGCAAGTGATAGGGATTAATAGATCAGAGTTTGTTGCAAAGACTAAACTCTTTTCTTTTTAAGAGTTTGTTCGAAATAATGTTCACTTTGGGCGAAGAGTTTTTAATTTGAAAGTTGCAAGCCTAGGATATTTTTTCTTTATCTATCTTATAAAATAGATGAGTATAGTTGGTTATTTGCCACTAATCCTACTTTTCCTATGCTTATATTTGTGCAACCTCATGGTTAAAACTCTTAGTTTAAAATATCAAAGGTCTACGACATCAGTTTGTAATGATAGATGTAGACAATTAGACAATTAGAGATTATGGCGAGTAATAGTTTCTTTTAAAATCAATTTAGTAAAATGAGAATATACACATCTACCCTGCAAGTTCCTTGCAAACCCAATCGGCACTTGAATTTAATCATTTAACATTTAATCTAAGCTGTTAGGATGAATTCAGGACAAAATTGGGATATATGTGTTAAATTCAGAATTGAACACGTAAAACCTAAAAAAATACAAAATAATATGGAAAACAAAATTTTTGTTTGATACCCCAAACTTCTTATTGGAGACCCAAAGCTTTTCATCTGGAGTCTCCAATGAAAAGCTTTATATCTCCAATGAATAGTCTGGGGTCTCCGATGAAAAGCTTGGGGTCACAAATAAAAATCGGAGGTATCTGATGAAAAGCTGATTATACTCCAACGATAATGATTTCTTCTAAAACTCTTTAGTATTCTTATTTTTTTAAAGTGTGATAAAACAGCTAAAAACACTTCTTTATCTTTACTACATTTCGCCTTGCCTATCTGGCCTTAACTCCACTCTTTTTATTTCTCTGCTCTGTGGATAGAACTAAAACATATATTGCAAAAGAGGGGTTTTTTTGAATTTTTTTTAGAGAGACTTAAGTTCTTAACAAGGAAGACTATAAAACATATAAAAACAAACAAAAATGTTCATATCAATGAAGTTTAAAGGAGAGAAATTTGGTTTATAAATTTGAAATCTTTGAATTTAATCAATGTAGTCTTCGATATACCAGTGCCGATTTCTAGGGTTTGCAATCCTCTTGCATGGTGTGCACTAAAAGTGTAATAATAAATTTATATTCTTGGAATAAAGTATTGGTGACGTGTATGTCTTCTACCATATTTATATTTTTTGTATGTCCGATCATAACTCAGGAATCCCTTAAACGATTTGCCTCAAATTTTGATAAGGAAACTCTGTAGAACCACGGGAATGGGTTGAATAGGTTGACTCTTATAAGTTGAATAGGTTGACTCTTATAAGTTGAATAGGTTGACTCTTATAAGTTGAATAGGTTGACTCTTATATGGAAAACTTTGTTTCCATGCCAAGCTGGGTTCCCAAGCATAGTTTTTAATAAAACAAAACAAAGATTATTTTTAAAGAATATTCCGTCTTCTTAATGGAAATGTAAGAGAAATGTTAGGGAATGTAATACTTATCAATATACTGAATATCCACAGGCATATCAATATTCAATATCAGATAATACGCATATATAAAAAATATATTTAATATGAAAAAATAACTAGCAAAACTGCAGAAACAATCTCATTACAGAAATTCGTCATTCGTTTTGTTTATATTTGAAAAAATGTCTTTCAATATTTCTTTAAAAACTTCTTTTTGCATTATTTAAAACCTTAAATCAGTAAGTGCAGTTCTTTTTACTTGTCATAAAACGACCCCCCCCCCATATATAAGTATATATGGATTTATAATATATCAATGTAATTTATTTATAGAAAGTTCTTGTATCTTATTATATGTTATATTACGGATTCTTAGAATATCAGGCTTTTTCTCATTTCAAGAAACACAAATAATAATACATTAATAATATTAATAATAATAATAATATTAATGATATTAATTTCGAATTCTTTAGGTTTGCTTGTACTAGGCATACTTGTGTTCTGTCTATGCTGCTACAAGGTACAGATACAGATACAGATACAGATACAGATACAGATACAGATACAGATACAGATACAGATACAGATACAGATACAGATACAAATACAGATATAGATACAGATACAGATACAGATACAAATACAGATACAGATACAGACACAGATACAGATACAGATACAGATAATATCTATCTATCTATCTATATATCTATCTATCTATCTATGTATCAACTTATTTCTAGGTTGATGAGACCTCCATGAGCCCTGTAAAAGACAAAGTGCCCGGAAATCAACCAAATATAAAAAGGTGAAAAGATTTTTCTTTTCAAACTTTCAGAAAACGAAAAATATTTAGTCAAACTCTTTATTGCTAAACGATTCGTACACAGGACATTATTGGGGGCAGGGGGAATATAGAAAATTTAATCAGAAGTCCAGACATTGACATGATTGGTTGAGCTATTGTTGAATACATAATTTAGAAAATTATTAGCTAACCTTAGATTTATTTATATATATATATATATATATAAAAAATGTGAAGTTAAAAACTGAAATATATATATATCGGACTATTATGGTCGGACTTTAATCATTTTTGAAAATGCACTAATTTAAACAGAAAAATCTGCAAAAATTTTTTTTTATATTTTACAATTAAAAATGGAAACTTAAAGAGCAACATTTTAAGGATAAAATTGTTAGCAGAAAATGGGTTGAGTAAAGAGTGTATAGAACATATTGAGTGTTTAGTAAAATCATGTTATTTTACTCTTGCTTTGATTCCAATTAGTTCCTAATTTTCCTTTGGTTTACCCTCAAACTCAATTACTAATAAAAGAGGGTTGAATGTGAAACTTTAATATTTATACCTGAAGGGATTGGACACGATTAATCCAATTGAAATGCAATTTTTGGTGGGAATTTAAATCCTTTATTCTCCAGTTAAAGTGCAACAGCTGATAATATGAAATTATGATATATAATAAGATTCATAAGAAACAATTAAGAGTCAGAGCGACTTGGTCTGAAGTTGTGTTTCTCTTAATCAATCAATGATCTCCATCCATGAAGATCTGAGGATTAATTTAATTTCTCTTTGATTTCAAGTATTGGTCATACGTTGGAATAGCTTTAATTTAGGAATAAAGCATATTGATTCTCAAATCTAAAAGTGCCTACATTGAATATCGAGATCAATTGTTCACGATTAGCAATGTCCGATCTCTGAATTCTTGAATGCAAAGCATTTAAAATTGTTTGTTCGATCTTGTCGCATGCACATGAACGATCAGGAATAAGTGAACGTCAATGCACTTTATCAGAATTAAAAACTTTTAAATCATGACTGCAATTTACTTTGTATACAACTACGCTAAAGTAACCTTTTCAGAGAAATCTAAAAACCATTTAAATCATTAAATGTATATACTTTAATATTACATTTCTATCAAGTTTCTTTTTACCTTACATAATCTATGGTCTGGTGAGCATGCAATCTATTCCGTAATTTTTCCCATCTTAGATAAATTTGAAGCAAAAATTCTCAATTTTAGTTTTTTCTTGAACACAGAGCTTTCTCTTCTTGACAACCAGGACGGAAGGGTCGGTGGTTTAAATGTATGCGATATAATGAAGAGGCGGCTTGGACAACAATTGTGGCAGAATATTCAATAAATGAAATCCTGATTAAACCTAATCCTGATTAAACCTTAGGAAAAAATTAGAATGTGATAAACAAACTAACGCAGCAGCTGTGTATACCCAGGACAAACTTACTGGAAGACAAATTAATTGTACGACAAATGAATTGTGGGACAAATGAATTGTGGGACAAATGAAGCGTAGGACAAATAAATTGTATGACAAATGAATTGTGAGACAAATTAATTGAACGACAAATGAATTGTAGGCCAAATGAATTGTGGGACAAATGAAGCGTAGGACAAATGAATTGTATGACAAATGAATTGTGGGACAAATGAAGCGTAGGACAAATAAATTGTATGACAAGTGAATTGTGGGACAAATGAAGCGTAGGACAAATAAATTGTATGACAAATGAATTGTGGGACAAATGAAGCGTAGGACAAATAAATTGTATGACAAATGAATTGTAAGACAAATTAATTGTACGACATATGAATTGTAGGACAAATAAAGTGTAGGACAAATGAATTTTAGGAAAAATGAATTGTACGACAAATGAATTGTAGGACAAATGAATTGTAGGACAAATGAATTGCAGGACAAATGAATTGTTCGACAAATAAATTGTAGGGCAAATGAATTGTAGGACAATAAATTGTAGGGCAAATGAATTGTACGACAAATGAATAGTAGGACAAATGAATTGTAAGACAAATGAATTGTAGGACACATTAACTGTAGGACAAATGAATTATAGGGCAAATGAATTGTAGGAAAAATGAATTTTAGGATAAATGAATTGTAGGAAAAATGAATTGTAGGACAAATGAATTGTAGGACAATCCATATTCTATGCACATTCAGTTTCCATCCATCTATATATAAATTTGGCTTGTCTGTCTGTCTGTTTGTCTGTTTGGGTGTTTGTTTGTTTGTATCCAATAAACGTCAAAACGGCTGAACCGATCGGGCCCAAATTTTTTGTGGGACATCTAGGGACTCCGGGGAAGGTTTATGAATCATCAAAATTTTCAAATATTTGTCTCCATCAAAATTCGATCGTCATTAAATTTTTTAAAATTTTGAAAATCCGCGAAATTTTTTTGTGAAAATCCGCGAATTATTTTTGTTCTGTTTTACGATGTACACAAAGAGAACATGTTCACAATTAATTTAGGAGATGGGCGCGAAGCGCCCTCTAAGGCTAGAAAGAAGGGCGCGAAGCGCCTTGAATTTCTAGTCTATATATAAATTTGGCTTGTCTGTCTGTCTGTTTGTCTGTTTGTTTGTTTGTTTGTTTGTATCCAATAAACGTCAAAACGGCTGAACCGATCGGGCCCAAATTTTTTGTGGGACATCTAGGGACCCCAGGTAAGGTTCATGAAAAAATAAAATTTCAAATATTTGTCTCTATCAAAATTCGATCGTCATTAAATTTTTAAAAATTTTGAAAATCCGCGAAATTTTTTGTAAAAATCCGCGAATTATTTTTGTAAGTTTTGTTTTACGATGTACACAAAGAGAACATGTTTACAACTAATTTAGAAGATGGGCGCGAAGCGCCCTCTAAGGCTAGAAAGAAGGGCGCGAAGCGCCTTGAATTTCTAGTATTCCATACTACAATAAGAACCAAGAAGCTGTTACCAACACACAGTGATGTTATGACGAAACTTATAAAGCTCCTAATTTAAAATTCTACCAGAATTGCATCCATTTTTCTTTCCAAAATTACTCTGATGCCTTCCTAAAATTTCACCAATTCATTATTTGCATTTTTTGCAAAATGTATTTTGTAAATTTATTAATTTGGAAATATTTCTGTTTTCTATTTTTGAGATATTATGAATGGTATTGGATTAGGTTAAGTAAGCATTATATATTGCAATTTGTGAAGGTTATTTAACAAAACCAAGTTTAGATTGAGAACATTTATAAAAAAAAATTAGGCTATTTGGGTGCTTCGCGATACTTTTCTTTAATAATCTGCATAGAAACTAAAATTAAGATCATTGCAGATTTAGCTAGAGTTCTCAAATCTTTTAGAAATCTAGACTTTTAAGATCCAAAAGAAAAGGTTTAGATTTGAAGTATCAAAGGTTTACACCATCTGGCTGCTAAGATAAAGAAATTAGACAATTTAAGATTAGGGCAAAAACTCAACTCCTTTAAATATATTAAAGTATATCAAACATCCCATGTGGCACTATAGCAATACATTTTCAACATAAACGTTAATTAAATTCAAATAGGATAAAAATGATCATCTGTTTATTTGGTATTAACAAATTAACAAATCAAAATTTTTGTAATGTTTTGCTTTATCATAAAGTGAGAACCATAAAACTATGGAATAGAAACACAACTCTCATCCATTTATAATAAAGCTTTTTGCTATATAACTGGCCAAACGGCTGTACCGAATGGCCTGAACTTTTTTGAGGCAACCTATGGGTGCCCGGGGAGTAACAAAGACTAAAAAAATTCCACATTTTCTTCTTTCAAAAATCTAACTTTTTTTCTTTGAAAATTTAATGATTTGAAAACTTCACGGGCAACACCAAGCACTTCAGCTAGTTTTACTATAAAACAAGTTTAAAACTTGTCCCTTATAAAAAATTGACCTGACCTGTTTAATTGTTTCAACGTTTATTGGACACAAACAAACAAAAAATAAGAGACAGAGAAGGCAAATATATATATCTTAGATCACTGACAATTTATCTATTTTTTATTTTTAACTCTTTACGGAAAAAATATACTGACGACGGGCGAGAAGGGTTTGAAGGCTATAAATCAGGGAATAAGAATATAGACAAAATTAAAGTTAAATACGATGATAGGCGATTATTTCAATATAATAAAGACGACTTTTGATTTCAATTTTGATTTATATCAAGCTTTTTATCAAGCATTGATACACAAAAACATGGATAGAAAGAGATACTGTCAAATTAAAAAGCTTCTATTTATTTACTTGTAAACTTATAATTCTAAAAAGGCTTGATAGCAAATAAAACTTAAATAAGAAAGTCGTCTTCCTTGTATTGATATAATTGCCTACCACCGTATTTAGTACAGGGGATTGTTTGAATACAAATGTTAATAAGTTCCAATTGTAGTTTTGACGAGCATATACATAAATATTATTCTCAAAATAAACAATAAACAGAAAAAATGAAAAATATATTTCCACATGAATGTCTGGCATATATTATACCGGCAGAATGGTTCACATAATTTATTCAAGCTTCACATAAAATACTAGAAGAACTTTCACCATTAAAGGGACTGTAGGCGTAATGGCAAGTGAACCTCTATTTCTTGAGTGACATGTCGGATTCACAATAATAACCTTAAAAACGTTGTCTAATCTAGAATTAATATAAAACTCATCCTTTTATTTACAATTTTGTTTTCTCTCTAAAAGTAACTTGCGGATTTCTCAGAAACGATTGAGGAAATTGTGTGAATTAAACACTTTTCAAATTAGAACAATTACGGTGTTTTCCACAGTATTAATGAGGCAACTAGGTATAAAATGTGGATGGTGTATTTTTCGACCTACGCAAATCCGCTATACTTCAATTCTGACCTAGGCCAAATCTTCTATACTACTCATCCGACCTACTAGCACGTGGCCTACAGCTGCGAAATGGCCTCTAGCCTGTCCTAGCCGCGGCGCTCAGCCCCCTAGCCTAGGCCTTTTAGCCGCAGCGATCAGCCCAGAAATTGTCTTACCGTAACATAACCCTCAAATAATACAAAAGTAAACAGCTGGAGTAGGTCCGATATTACAGTAGGTCGGAAAGTTAGTAGGTCAAAAGTTCAGTAGGGGGATGTTGCGTATAGACGATGTAACTTTATCTGAAATGTGTCACTTTTAATCTGGAATTGCTCTCTTCAGATTGAAGGAATTACTTGAAATTACAACGACATGCAGCTCCTTTACAATTCATAAACAAGTTATTTTTGTAATTTTTGTAATTTGCATTCACGCCAATGACAGCCAAGGAATATACAATGAGTCCCCAAATTGTTTGAGCACACACAGACTAAGATAATCACGTGACACTGACAACTGTTGGTCATGTGACAACAGTTAGTCACGTGACAGCTGTTTAGATTTATGAAGTGGTGGAGGAAAAAGTTTAGTGTCAGCATTCTTCAAGAACTGGAAAAAACTGGATTTATTTCAACCATTGTGCATATATTATGTATATATATTCAATATATATATATATATTCAATAAATGTGGAACTAACATCTACTTTTTTACTCTACATAGGTTTGGTCCATCACCATCACCGAATTTTAAATATGTATATATATAGCACAGTAAACAAGATAATGAAGGATATTTGTTTATCAAATTTATGTCTTTAATACTTTTATTCTTTTCTTTTCGAAACACTATAGAAATTTAACATATATGGATATAACCCTGGTTTGGGTTCTTCTGTTTTATTTCAATCGCGTGTTGGTCTATAATTTATCAATCGCGTGTTGGTCTATAATTCAACAATCGCGTGTTGGTCTATAATTCAACAATCTTTAAACTTACAGAGTTGTCTTTTTTAATTTTTCATCTAAAAAGCATCCGCCGACGACAAAAAGTTTAAATTGAATTTTTTTTTGTTTAAAATGGGTGATCGAAAGTCACAGATTTCTTGTACAAGGACCGAACTTTTAAATCCGCGTGATATGTCCGGCCTTAAGTATTTTGAATTGGCCGATTGCGGAGATATTTACATAAACAAAATGTGACAAATTGATTATAAACATAAGGTCTTATCTACCTATGAATATTCTTTCTAAAAATCTATTTGGTTGCTCGAAAATAGGTTTTTTCGTTTGTTTGATTCCATAAACATTAAAACGTCTGAACTGATCAGGACCAAATGTTTTGTGACCCCACATATATATGTATTATGTGTATATGATATCATTTAATACAATTAAAAAATAACAATAAATGGGTTAAGTTTAGAAAACCCTATTTATCTCTTCTAATAAATCTTGATAAATCCACCTAAAAACACATAAATCCCCCTCATATGTCTTTAACCCCCCCTCCCCCTCCTCTCTTCTCCCGGGATTGTTGAAGTGGTCTTTTCCAACTACTCATAGAAATAAAGAGGAATCAGGGGGTACCTGACAATAGACAAACATACATGCAGACATACAGACATACAGACATACAGACACCCTTACAGACATTTGAATAATCTAAAATTAGAAAGAAATGCTGCATATAAGGACTCATCTGTCCAATAAATAAACACGGTACATTGTACTTTCTTAGCCTCCGGGCTCTGGATGCTTTGTATACAATACATATAAGCAACTTTTTAAACAGAATTATTATTGTTCTTAAAACGCCGATAAATTAGTTTTGATTGATAGATTAATAATTAGGTCTTGATATTTAAGTGACCAGCGTATACATATTTTACCGTAAATTAGCCAATAAATCATTCAGTCGGTACATTTTAATTAAATAAATAAAGATTGAAAATCCAAAAAAAAGATTTTTTTCAGCTCCGAGAAGCCTCCTACAGTTTCTAGATCATCGATAGGGTACAGTCATGAGCCTTATTCTAGGCTAGAGAATTCTAGGTTAGTTTATATAAAAATACTTTAAAATATATATTTTAATAGAGACATATTGTTTATTAGCTCAAGTGCCCGGCTTTGCTCAGATCACTCATTGTTACTCCCGCCGTTTATCTGCGCTTGTCTATGAGAATTAAAAAAATTCAATATGCTTTTAGCCCATGTAGCCCCTAGTGTCCTAGCCAACTTTGGTCCAGCCTTTTGGCCAGCTATTGCAAACATATTAATGAGCGAGTATATATATATATTCCTTGTAAATTGTCCAAACTCGCAAAAAAAGGTTTCACTCTCACAGGTAGAAAAACTCGGGTTTGGAAATTAATTTCGATATATTTCATATCCTCATCAGTCCTACAGAAAATGACCAAAATTATTACAAATTAAAAATAAAGATAATGTAACAAATAACTTTCTAGAAATTTAAAAAAAAGTAAGCAAATTTTATTATTTTGTTTTGTAGGGAACTGTTGTTGTCCCAAGGATCCTTGAATACCTTGGATGTACAGGGCAGAAACCATCTAGACTCATCCAGAAACTATTCATCCCAACCTGATTCATCCACCAGACCATTTTCATCCCAACCTGATTCAACCACCAGACCATTTTCATTCCAACCTGATTCATCCACTAGACCCTTTACCTCCCAGCCCGAGTCATCCAATCGGCCTTTCTCATCCAAACCGGAGGCATCCAACCGGCCCTTTTCATCCCAACCGGAGGCATCCAACCGTTCCTTCTCCTCCCATTCGTCTGATCCTCTGCGAACCTATTCAAGCTACGGTCCTGAACCCAACCATAGAACTCAGTATTCACACAATTCCTATTCACAGGTTAGAGAGAAACAGAATACTCGCCTCAACAGTCTAATTCTATAATTCTTATATCTATGTAACCTGATGTCCTTGAACTTTGATCTTTTAAACTTTTGAAGATCAAATAGTCAATACTTAAAATATTAAAAGTAGCCGATATATTTATGAATATGTTTTGGAAAATTAGAGTTTGAGGCGAGGTATAGTAAAAAGAAAACATATGATGACCTAGTAATCAATTTCGTTTTTTTAATTATCAACTCAAATAGTGGATCGATGGACTTTTATTTATAAAATCAAATGGAACTTTGATTTGCTTTTTTTCAGAGAAAGCAAATTTTCTACGTTGGAAAAAAAACAATTTTGAGTTTCAAATCTAAAATATTATATAATAAAAATTAAAAATTAAAAATTAAAAATTATAAAATTACCAGATTATTTTAGAATTAACTAGGTGAAGAATAAATAAGAAATACAAATACAAAGAATTATATTTTGAAATAATAAAAATATAATCTTTTAGGATTTAGATAACAGAGAAAATAGAGGAGTAGATTTTCAGGTATTTCCCAGTTTTTACAAAATTTTACAAAATTTAACAAAATTGTTATTATGTTACAGTGCAAACATATTTGTACAGGATGTTGTGCAGAATATTAGTATGGTATGCAGAATGCTAGTCTGGTGTGCAAATATATGTGTAGAATGATGTGCTAATTGTTGGTATGGTGTGCAAATATATGTGTGTAGAATGTTGTATTTATTTTTAGTATGGTGTTCAAATATAAATGTGTAGAATGAATTTGTATGGTTTGCATTTATATATGTGTAAAATAGATTGTTAGTATGGTGTGAAAATATATATGTGCATAATGTTGTGCTGATTGTTATTATGGTGTACAAATATATATAGGTGCATAATGTTGTGCTGATTGTTAGTATGGTTTGCCAATGTATATGTGCAGAATGTATTAGTATGGTGTGCAAATATATATGTGCAGATTGTTGTGCTAATGTTAGTATGGTGTGCAAATATATATGTGCAGAATGTTGTGCTGATTGTTAATGTCTGTTTGTTTGTATCCAATAAACGTCAAAACGGCTGAATCGATCGGGCCCAAATTTTTTGTGGGACATCACGTGACCACAGGGAAGGTTTATGAATGATAAAAATTTTAAAAAAATGTGTTTTAAAGGTTTTAATTTTGTAAAAAAAAAAAATTAAATTCTTGAAAATCCGCGAATTTTAAATCCGCAAAATTTTTTTCTTCTTTGTTTTAAAATGTAAACAAAAAGAACATGTTCACAATTTAAATAGAAGATGCCGGGCGCGAAGCGCCCTAAAAGCCTAGTCTATATATAAATTTGGCTTGTCTGTTTGTTTGTATCCGATAAACGTCAAAACGGCTGAACCGATCTGGCCCAAATTTTTTGTGGGACATCACGTGACCACAGGGAAGGTTTATGAAAAATATAAAAGGTTTTTAATTTTGTAAAAAATTTAAATTCTTGAAAATCCGCGAATATTTTTTTTAAATCCGCAAAAAAATTTTCTTCTTTGTTTTAAAATGGAAACAAAAAGAACATGTTCAAAATTTAAATAGAAGATGGGCGCGAAGCGCCCTAAAAGCCTAGTATTTATAATTCCTACAAGAGGCATTAGGCAGCATATAACAAAACAAAATTAATGCTTCTTTTAACTCTTTTTATCAGGTTGTGCAAGGATATGTTTTGGATTTGAAGTATATAAACCTAATAGGAGTACAGACAACTTTTTGAAATAGAAAAAATATGTGTGATGAAGTATCAAGTACAGTGGTATAATACAAACATTATCGAGTTGAAACTATATATATATTTTTAATAAATATAATTGACATTGATTAAATATATTTACTTTGTATTTATTTATAAATAATAAAAGCTTATTAAACCATTATTCCTGGTTAATTGACAATGTTCATTTCATGCCTAGTTTTCTGTCATGCAGTGGCATGCATGCTTGAAAATAATACAAAAACAGAATAATAATATACACCAGTCTTTTTTCTGTGTACCAGAAACATGAACCAACCAGTGTACTGTTTACAAGAAACGTGAACCAACCAGTGTACTGTTTACAAGAAACGTGAACCAACCAGTGTACTGTATACCAGAAACATGAAACAACCAGTGCACTGTTTACAAGAAACGTGAACCAACTAGTGTACTGTCTACAAGAAACATGAACCAACTAGTTTACTGTATACCAGAAACATGAACCAACCAGTGTACTGTATACCAGAAACATGAACAAACCAGTGTACTGTATACCAGAAACATGAACCAACCAGTGTACTGTATACCAGAAACAGATTCAAAATTATTTTAAAATCAAATGTTTCAGGATTATACTCCCCGCTGTAGCCGTCACGCTGCTGCCCTCAGACTTACAGATACAAAAATACAGGTAGTATTCTTAACACTGTAAAGGCTTTTACCTTAGTTTTCCATCCCGTAGCATTAAAAAAATATTTTTGCAGAATTCCTTTGATTTACTTTGCCTTAAAAGTAAAAAAAATCAAAGTAACCTCTAGTCTTGTGTAGCATTGTAGCAGCAAGTGTTGGGTAGCATTTAAACAATACATGTAACATTGTAGCAGCTAGTATTTGGTAGCATTCTAAACATTACATGTAGCATTGTAGCTCAGTTAGTTTTGAGTAGTATTCTTACCATTACGTGTAGCATTGTAGCTCAGCTAGTTTTGAGTAGCATTCTTAAAATTACATGCAGTATTGTAACAAATAGTATTATATATATATGTATATATATGCATACATTTGTATGTTGTTAGAAAACCATCTAGTGTTCCAATCCAAGTGATATTATTTATTCTGAATTCAGTGTAATATATTCTATTTGGCAATAAAAATAGATTATCTGAAAGCAGCTATTTCTTTTATAACAACTATAAAGTTTTGATGAATACATATATTTTATGTCTGTAATGTGACATTAATTAAATTGCAGTGAAGTTTTATACACTCTTAAAGGGACTGTAAGCTTATTTCAAGAGACTCCATGCAAAGGGGGCAATGCCTGATTTACAACTGTTGTGTGTTTGTTGAGTACGGAGATATGAGTAAACTTATCGAAACCCGCTTGCTTTTTATTCAGCTGCGTGCAGTGTGAGCTGTGCACATAGGAATTTGCAGCTGAATGCAAGCTCTGTACTCGACGAACAGTTTTTGTGAAAAAATCTACTTCCCAGCTGATGCTGCACTGACTCCTGATGCTACACTGGTTTCTAATGTAGCACTGGTTCCTGATGCTTCACTTGTTCCTGATGCTATGCTTCTTTATGCTATGCTTCCTGATGCTATGCTTCCTAATACTATGCTTCCTGATGCTATAATCCTGGATGCTATGCTTCCTGATGCCATGCTTCTTGATGATGCTATGCTTCCTGATGCTATGCTTCCTGATCCTATGCTTCCTGATGCTATCCTTCCTAATGCTATGTTTCCTGATGCTATGCTTCCTGATGCTATGCTTCCTGAGGCTGCGCTTCCTGATGCGATGCTTCCTGATGCTATGCCTGATGCTATGCTTCCTGATCCTATGCTTCCTGATGCTATCCTTCCTAATGCTATGTTTCCTGATGCTATGCTTCCTGATGCTATGCTTCCTGAGGCTGCGCTTCCTGATGCGATGCTTCCTGATGCTATGCTTCCTGATGCTATGCTTCCTGATGCTATGCTTCCTGATGCTATGCTTCCTGATGCTATGCTTCCTGAGTCTATTCTTCCTGATGCTATGCTTCTTGATGATGCTATGCTTCCTGATGATGCTATGCTTCCTGATGCTATGCTTCCTGATGCTACGCTTCCTGAGTCTATTCTTCCTGATGCTATGCTTCTTGATGATGCTATGCTTCCTGATGATGCTATGCTTCTTGATAATACTATGCTTCCTGATGCTATGCTTACTCATGCTGCTATGCTTCCTCATGCCGCTACATTTCCTGATGCTGCTTCATTGCCGGATGCTCCTCCTAATGCAGCTATTTGTGTCCAGGTCAGTGGAATAAATTCAAGGAGTTCAAAGGAACTTGAACCATTTCAGTTTCAGTACTTGGGGCCTGAAAACCTCATCAGATTTCAAAACGCATATAAAAACCTCTTCCAAAATAGATGAATATCTTTTTACTGCTTGACTGGCATTCAAACTTTCTAGTACTACTTCTACTGAAGAAAGTTTTGAGATATCGTCCTGTAGTAAAACCTCCAAAAAAGAGGTGGAATAAATCCGCAGCTCAAGATGGGAGGAAATTCTGGAGGAGAGGCAATGGCATGATAAAGGAGAGCGGGGGAACGGTGGGGGTAGAGGAAGGGCAGAAGAGCGAGGGAGAGGAAGGGCAGAAGAGCGAGGGAGAGAAAGAGCAGAAGTGCGAGGGAGAGGACGAGGTGGAGTTCCTATCCTTTGAAGATTTAAAAACATTTTGTATGTATTTTTGAATATATTTTTGTTTTATTTCATAAAGGAATTCACTCTTTGCCACAAACTCTGATTTTCTAATCCCAATGTCGTAAACCTTTGATATTTCAAACTTATACTTTTTGATCTAACAAAAGTCATAGTTTGAAATTTCAAAGGTTTACGACGTTGGAATCCAAAAATATAGGGATTAGAAAATCAGAGTTTGTTGCAAAGAGTCAATTCCTTTACGTTTTTTGTTTATAATTTCATCTGGGTAAGGCTCTCAAATGAGATATTTGTAGCAAAATTCAGTCGGTGCACTTTTTATAATGGTAATTTAATTTTTAATAATATTTGCTTCAAAATAAACACTTAAATAAACTGTTTACATACCTGTATCTCTTTTGAAACTCATAGATTCCATGGTAAATTTTTTTTGGTTCATTTCATTGTTTTTGTGTGTATACCTGTTAAAATTCTGTTAATTCTGTTTTATCCATATTATGAGCATCCTAACCAACTTATATGAGCAATTATTTTATTTCCACACATTGTACCTTCTAAAAAGCCTCTCATTTGCAATCTTAAAAACATGTTTAATTTAGTCTGTAAGGTTAAAATGTAATTTTAAAAACCTGTAGTCTAATAATCGATTGCGGATAATCAAAAAATATATTTGTTTATCTCTGTAAAAACAAGTCTTTAAGAACTTAAAAAGTAAACCAAAAAGTTATCCAATTTGTGCTCTTTACTCTCCTCACTAATACTTTTTGAGATATTCATAATTTTCGTGTTGAAAACCTGATAACATAAATCAATTTAACTAATGTATGCATTATACGTACTTTTTGCTTTATTGAGTGATAAAACAATCTTTTTACTGTAAACTATTTGTAAAAACTAACTTTAGGAATTTATAAAAAAAAAATCCAAAAAATCACTTTTAGTTCTTGACACTCGTTCTCATTTTTTTCGATTTCTTGTAGGCAGTGCAAACATAGTTTATTATGTTTTTTTCTGTATCATTGTAAAGTCTTTTCTCTAGCTTTATGGACGTTATTTTTAGGTAACAATAATGTTGGTGAGGTGAGGGGGGGTCAAAGTGAGCATATAAAAATAGTAAATAGTGATAGATGGATTAATAATAGAATATACATCATGCAGCTAGAAACATTAATATATATAATGTATGAGGAAGATATGGTATACTCTGTAAGCATATTATAGACAAAAGTAAAAATACATAATAAAAGCTTATGATATAATGGATTTTGGACAAGATTTTAATGTCAAAAGAAATTCTTTTTAATGACATTTATTAGCATTTCTTAGTTTAACGGAGTACCATTAATACAAAACTTTAAAGTTCCTTGACTTAAAACAACTTTATTGAAATAAACTTTAAACTAAATTAATGCTTAGAAACATTGTAAGATTGGCTGAATATAACTTGGCGCTGGGAAAATATATCGATTATCCACCAATTCATCTGTAGTAGGAGACAGGGGGGGTTCAAGAAGGTACAGGGGGATACAGGGGTTCAAGGGNTACAGGGGGATACAGGGGGATACAGGGGGATATGGTGGGATTCAGGGGGATACAGAGGGATAGAACGGATACAGGGGGTTCAAGGAGGATACAGGCGGATATAAGGGAATCAGGGGGTTCAAGGGGATACAGGGGGATACAAGGGATACAGGAAGTTCTTGGGGGATACAGGGGGTTCAAGGTGGTTCAAGTAAGATACAGGTGGCTCAAGGGTGTTCAAGGGGGATTTATAGAATCAAAGAAAACTTTGAAATGAATGACTAGTGATATGTATTAAATAATAACTCATATGCTATTCATTAAATTTAAAAATCAATCTTTCACTGCAGATAAGCTCTGCAGTCTATTCTGCAGTCTTAACACTAAACAGGCGGGGGGGGGGGGCTCTAGTATTTTTTTGCCGAATCACTCTCATTTTGGACACTATTACTTTTTTTTACTTTTAAGGAAAAGTAACTTAAGGGAGTTTCTACCAAATTTTCTTTTTTAATGCATATGTTTGGATACAGGACAGTAAAAGGACGCTCCGTGTTAAACAAATCTAGAATAGCCCTTAACATTTTTGTTATCAAAACTACAGATCTAATAACTACATTTTTGTTAAGCCCTTGAAAAAGTGGATGTAAAATCATGTGCCTCAATTTGCCAAATACTATTTTGACCTTCTTTTTGACATTTTTTTAAACTATTAAAGTGAGCGGTTAAATTTTGTTTCAACGAGCTGGCCTTGAAAATGTAATGTATGTTTAGGAACTAGGGTCTAGAGAGGATACAGTCGAGGTGCCAATGGTGAACCTAAATCATTTCAACTCAATGCCGACACTTAGGTCAGTTTTTATGTCTTTATAAATTAAAGCTGTGTATACATGTGCGTCCGTATTAGTGCGCACAAGCTATTTTTGCTGCTGAATGTTGATCGATTTTTTAAATTCAACGGCCAATGCCGGCCACGTCATTTAGATACTGTTAAAGGTATAAAGCCTGTGCTTAAAGAATTAACCTCTGCGTATAAAGGCCAAAATAGTGCTTTAACAGGCTAAAATAGTGCTTTAACAGGCCAAAATAGTGCTTAAACAGTCCAAAATAGTGCTTTAACAGTCCAATATAGTGCTTAAACAGTCCAAAATATTGCTTTAACAGTTCAAAATAGTGCTTAAACAGTCCAAAATAGTGCTTTAACAGTCAAAAAAAGTGCTTAAACAGTCCAAAATAGTGCTTTAACAGTTCAAAATAGTGCTTTAACAGTCCAAAATAGTGCTTTAACAGTCCAAAATAGTGATTTAACAGTTCAAAATAGTGCTTTAATAGTCCAAAATAGTGCTGAAACAGTTCAAAATAGTGCTTTAACAGTCCAAAATAGTGCTTTAACAGTCCAAAATAGTGCTTTAACAGTCCAAAATAGTGCTTTAACAGTCTAAAATAGTGCTGAAACAGTCCAAAATAGTGCTTAGACAGTCCAAAATAGTGCTTTAACAGTTCAAAATAGTGCTTAAACAGTCCAAAATAGTGCTTAAACAGTTCAAAATAGTGCTTTAACAGTCCAAAAGAGTGCTTAAACAGTTCAAAATAGTGCTGAAACAGTCCAAAATAGTGCTTAAACAGTCCAAAATAGTGCTTTAACAGCCCAAAATAGCGCTTTAACAGTCTAAAATAGTGCTTTAACAGTCTAAAATAGTGCTTTAGCAGTCCAAAATAGTGCTTTAACAGTCCAAAATAGTGCTATAACAGTCCAAAATAGTGCTTTAACAGTCCAAAATAGTGCTTTAACAGTCTAAAATAGTGCTTTAACAGTCTAAAATAGTGCTGTAACAGTCCAAAATAGTGCTGAAACAGTCCAAAATAGTGTTGAAACAGTCCAAAATAGTATACTTAAACAGTCCAAAATAGTGCTCAAACAGTCCAAAATAGTGCTTTAACAGTCCAAAATAGTGCTTAAACAGTCCAAAATAGTGCTTTAACAGTCCAACATAGTGCTTTAACAGTCCAAAATAGTGCTTAAACAGTCCAAAATAGTGCTTTAACAGTCCAAAATAGTGCTTAAACAGTCCAAAATAGTACTGAAACAGTCCAAAATAGTTCTTTAACAGTCTAAAATAGTACTGAAACAGTCCAAAATAGTTCTTTAACAGTCCAAAATAGTGCTTAAACAGTCCAAAATAGTGCTTAAACAGTCCAAAATACTGCTTTTACAGCCCAAAAATCAAGCGTTTACAGTTAAAGGGACTGTAAAGGAAAAATGAAAGGGGGTATAGGAACAAACCTGAGAATCTCAGGCGTTAAACGATACATATAAAACATCTATCTGATGTTCCTGTCTCGAGAAATTGATATAAAACTATGTCAAAATTATACGAAAATTCATATATATACAATTTTGTATAAAAGTAGTAGGTTTAAACAGATCATATTCAGCAAATACAAATCTAAAAACAATTATACCCCACAGGAGAATCTCAGGTTTGTTCCTATAAAATTTGTTTACTTTTTATTTTGCATTTTTAATAGATATAATTGATAATATATTTACATTTAGTCCGTATAGTCCTTATTACGTCACCAGAACTTCAGCCAATGGCAGTGCAGTATCATTGTCCCGTGATACAGACGGAAATCACGTGACCAGTATACTGCACTGCCATCGGCTGAAGTTTGCGTTTGCAGTGAAATATACTGCGTACATTTTCCAAAATCTTGCGTTCACAGTCCAAAATCCTGCGTTTGCAGTCCAAAATCATGCGTTTTCATTACAACATCCTGCGTTTACAGTCCAAAATCCTGCGTTCACAGTCCAAAATCCTGTGTTCACAGTCCAAAATCCTGCGTTTACAGTCCAAATCCTGCGTTTACAGTCCAAATCCTGCGTTCACAGTCCAAAATCCTGCGTTTACAGTCCAATATCCTGCGTTTACAGTCCAAAATCCTGCGTATCATTAGCACTTAAATTCCACTTTTCTTGAATGGTTTAAAGGAACTGTCATAGTTTTAAAAAACCCATTTACCAAAAACTGAAAGGAAACCATTTTTTAAGTCAATATAAATAATGTTTTTTCTTCTAAAAAGGAAAATTTGCGGTCAATTAATATATGCAACAACAAAAAAGTAAGAAAAATACATTTGATAATGGCTGTTTAACTTATACTTAAAAACTTAAAAAATCTGAAGAAATTATCGGTCACGGTCTCTCCGTTTTGCTTAAAAGTCTTGGTTGTCTTTACATTAATCATGCTTACTTGGTGATTGTAAAAGCCATTACAAGATATAGATATTTATGTTACAACATAAACTGAAATAAATTACCAAAACTTTGAAATGGATCTTTTTTCAATTTTATTGCACTATAAACAGTTAAAATTTCTAAAGCTCCTCAAGATACTCATTCTATATTCTACGTTTATGTTCAATATTAAACACAGGGTGTCCCAATAAACATGGAAATCAAGCGACAACATCATAATCGTCTTTGATTAATATTTACTAGAAGGTTAGCGTCATCTCGTCATTTGATAAAATTAGAGAAATCTCTATGTAAGCTAGACATATCTAGGAGGAAATCCTTTAACATTTCTGGGATTACGCTACAAGAAATACTTTAACATTTCCGGGATTACGCTACAAGAAATCCTTTAACATTTCTGGGATTACGCTGCAAGAAATCCTTTAACATTTCTGGGATTACGCTACAAGAAATTCTAATACATTTCTGGGATTACGCTACAAGAAATTCTAATACATTTCTGGTATTACGCTACAAGAAATCCTTTAACATTTATGGGATTACGCTAAAAGAAATCCTTTAACATTTCTGGGATTACGCTTCAAGAAATACTTTAACATTTCCGGGATTACGCTACAAGAAATCCTTTAACATTTCTGGAATTACGCTGCAAGAAATCCTTTAACATTTCTGGGATTACTCTACAAGAAATTTCTAATACATTTCTTTGATTACGCTGCATGAAATACTAATACATTTTTGGGATTGCGTTACAAGACATACTGATACACATCTGGTATTACATTATTAGAAATACTGATACATTTCTCGGATCACTCGGCAAGAAATTCTAAAACATTATTGAATTACAATATAAATAATCCTGAATTTATCTATCTGGGTTTACGGTACAAGAAATCTTGAAGCATTCCCGGGATTAAACTACAAGAAATCTATTCTCGGGGTTAAACTACAAGAAATCTATTCCCGGGATTAAACTACAATACATCTATTCCCGGGATATACTGCAAGAAATCTATTCTCAGGGTTAAACTACAAGAAATCCTAAAATATTTCTTGGATTGCGCGTCGAAAAATCCTAAAACTTTTCTAGAATTACACTACATAAAAAAAATTGAATCCATTTAAAGTTTGCATGTATGCGTATATTTTTAATCGTTTATCTGATCAATAGCGTGGAAGATAAATAATTTATTGTTAAATGTTTAAAACTCGGATTTAATTCATTCTTAAAATATATTATTATTTGTACAGTTGTTAATCAGACTTCCCACTCTATAAACGGAGCTAAAAAAAAAATCAATATTACGTCACAAGGTTCGTATTAGTAAGAATCTTTCCTGAAATGAACAATGTAACAACAGCTCCGACACTTGAAAAGTAATTTGAACGAGAATTTTAAAGTCAAATTATAAAAGCTGAACATTTATACTGTTTCCACAATCCAGGTCCACTCATTCATAAAAATTTGTCTTAAAGAAAAAGTTTCATAAATAAACTAAAATTATTATTAATGCACAAAAATGATCCTAAAAACCTCTATTGCCTTAGCTGGTTAAAAATAATTAAAGTTATGGATTGGAGGGCGGAGACTCACTTTAAATTTTAAAATTGAAATAAATGTTCACACATCCTAAATATTGATTAATCTTAGTTTGTGGTAACTGGTAATTAAACAAACCAAACCAAACTAAACTTGCTTGGAAACCCAGCTTTAACTGGAAACGGTGCTTTCCCTAAAAAATTGAACCGACTGAACTTAGAGTCTTTAAACTCAACTAAGAACATTCTTATGGTTCCTCTGAGTTCCCCAATCAAATTTGAGGCAAATCGATTAATGCGTTTATGAGTTTTGATCGGACAAACAGACACACAGAGATTAATACTTTATATATTTGAATGCTCACTATTTAGATCCTTTACTGATTCCTTGGATAAAGTTCCTCCTCCCTATCCTCCTCCACCCCCTGTTCACTACAGGAGCAATGGAAAACTAGGTAAATACAAGAGCCGCAAACTTTAAATACTAGAGCAGCAAACTTTAGAGTCACAAACTTTAGCTTTTCAACGGAAACATAATACAACGTAAGTTTCGGAAATTTAACACTTTTGAGCCGCAAACTTTGAACGTTAGAGCCGGAAACTTTAAACATTAGAGCCGGAAACCATAAACATTAAAGCCTATAAACTTTAAACATTAGAGCAAGAAACCTAAAACATTAGAGCAGCACACTTAATACATTAAAAATGTAAACATTTTGGCCGCAAACTTTAAACATTAAAGTCAAAACTTTAAATATTATAGCCGTGAACTTTAAACAAACGTAAAAGCCGCAAACTTTAAACCTTAGAGCGGGAACTTTAAACATTAGAGGGAAACGTTAAATATTAGAGCAGCAAACTTTAAACATCAGAGCCGCAAGTTTTAAACATTAGAGCTGCAAACTTTAAAGATTAGAGTCGTAAACTTAAAAGATTAGATCCGCACACTTTAGACATAAGAGCTGCAAACTTTAAATATTAAAACCGCAAACTTTAAACAATTAGAGCCGCATTAACCTGAAACATCGGAGCCGCAACTTTAAATATTAGAGCCGCCAACTTGCCTTTGGAACCAGATTAAACTGGTTTTATGTACAGGCAATAATGATGCGCAGTGTAGTACGACAGGCCTGTACGGGATGAGCGGTTTCGCAAACTCTTTCACAAACATCCATAATACCAGGTAGTGAAATTATTCCTTTCTGGGACTAAAAGGGGGACTCCATTTTGTTTAAACCGTTCTCCATATCAAGGAGAGAGCAAATTGACAGCGGGTTCCACATAAAACTAATTTCATAATAGAGCATCCTGTCTGGTTCGGAATGATTTTAGACATATTTGTATCTCTCGTTTAAAATATGTCAAAAATAGCGCAAGAGATTTTAAATGCTATAAGCATATTTCAACAAAATATAAAATAGCAAATACAAAAAGTATATTTTGATGAGTGAAAATGGCTTCTAAATTTGAGATTACCCCGATGTTAAGACCTCCAGTTTACCATGTTTCGTGTATAAGAATTATGGTTATGGCAAGGTTTTATAATAAGGTTAATTACTCTAAATACGCTCAAAGGTAAAATCCTCATATGACGTCACTCTCACCTCTATAATCAGTGACGCCATATGAGGATTTTATTTATCTTTGCTTAGGGACGATATTTTTCGTACATTGGAGCGCATTGAGAGTAAGCAACCATTATTATGTTTCCTCTGGTTATGGTTAAGACAGGTTCTAGGAATTGCCCATCAAGTTATAGGATTCCGTGCAGAAAATCCTTGCGCACAGTCACACTACATAGTTAAAATAGAAAGCATGATAATTAAAAAATAAAAACTGCATAATTTTTTTTATTCTTTTTCAACCAAAAATTAGCCTTCTCGTGTTTTTTGAACCTCCAGATTTTTCTTTCAGGATGCGAGATACTTTGTAAATTGTTCAATCGGGAAATATTTTTCATAAAAGGTCATTTTTATGCTGTTTAACCTTAGATGTACTTTTGAAGGGTGTTTTTATTTTGTTTAATTTATTAAAATGTTCATTTAAAGTAGAATAATGCTTTCCTTTCAATAAAATCTTAAAGGGCTATATATACATGGTATTTGAACTGAGATTCTGCTATTGCTGAACAATTATACACCATAAAAACGTCTAATAGGTCTCAAATGAATTCTGAAAAATTTCTCTACAATACTGCACTCTCAGTTCAACAACCATGTCTAGCTGGTCACTCCCTTTAACGTTGTTTGTTCATACGCTATATGTATCACGCACCAAGTACAACGAACCTAACCTAGAATTTGAGATTATTAACAAGGGAATTGGAAACTCTTTCTTTGCTTTGATTTAAAAGATTTTTCATATATCATATATTGGGTCGGCAATGGCATTAACAAGAACTAGATTAACTAATTCTCTAGTGTGGCCCAAAGTTTACTCGAGAAGAAGTTTATTTACTTCTCGGTACTCATAAATTCTGACCTTATGTCTCTAATTTTCTGTTGTAGTCTCCTTTACTGCCTTCGTAGTTACTGTATTATAGATAAGATTAAAAGAAATTAATTTTCAGCAGAAAACTCTTAAATTATAAACAAAAAATCAAAACACGTTTAGCTTAAAAGGACTGTAAGCGTAATTTCAAGTGACCCTCCATTACAATGCCCGATTCACAATGGTACCCTTATCTGATCAATTATGAATGTGATATGAATTTTTATAATTTTGAAAACTTACTATTTTCAACTTTGGTTTCTCTACTAAAGTGACAGGAAAACACAAAAAGCTTTGTAATATAAAGCGTAGGCATTGGGATTTATACGCAAAACCAGATGCCTCAATTGGGTTCAATAAGAAGCCAAAGAATGTCGTCTTTTCTATAATTTAAAAAGATTTTAGGACTCTTTAAGCATTTCCATCACCAAAAACTTGCGTGTTTTACATAATTTGCCGGTAGAAATGCATGACTTTATTATCTTTTTAGATAAACTTTATCTTAAAACAGACTGCAATGTAATTGGTTTAAAAAATTTGGCTACTTAAAACCAAGGTTATTTCGGGCTTTGCTCACGTTACTGGCCTAACATTCTGCTTTAGACTATAACAAAACTATACTTAATGACATTCTAACAAATTTTGTTTTAAAATTTGTGGTCTTTTTCATACAAATGAGATGTGTAACAAAATCACAATTTTAGCTTTATTTTAACAGGAGAGCATCCTTTCCTATAACCGAGTAAAACAAATTTAGAAGTTTATAATTGTGTCGTTATTTTACCACCATTTTTAGCATCTACAATGATTAATTTATTTGATAACTAGAGTTTTAATGTTGATTGTTTGGATTTAAACCAATACTGCAGCCAATGACGTCATATAAAAGAGTACAAAGCGTACACACTATTCGGATAAATTCCTAATGCCCTATCTTTCACTATTCTACCGTCTTTGGGAAAACATATAAGAAGTATCAGAATTGAACAATGTTAAACCTAGAAAACGACAATATCTTTCTCATCATAAAGGTTTCAAGGGTATCGTTGTAAATCAGATATTTCCATTTTGGCATGGAGGGTTCTGCTAACTGTCCTTTTTATTTCGCTTAATATTTTTCTAAAGGACATACAAATATATAAACAATAATGAGCTTTTAATTTAGGAAAAAAAGAGAATATTATTATCAGATATTATTATTATTATTATTATTATTATTATTATTATTATTATTATTATTATTATTATCATTATCATTATTATTATTATTAATTATTAGTAGAACTGTATACCCTGTTTAATGATCTCTTTCTGTTTTTCCTAATGTTCAGAACACTTTATCTCGTCAAACTTTGCAACATTAATATTTTTCTTTTTATATCAACTTCGTCGAACATGTCTTCATCAAAACCAATCTCCCATACCCCCTCCCCTCCGTCATTTTTTCATTAATTTTCCCTTTAAATGGTTTTCATTTTTTTTGTAAGACATTTCATATCCCTCCCTTCCAAATCCTGGGTTTTATTTGAGTTTGATAGAAATGCTGTCTGTAAACATGAAGAACTAGGTCGTATGCAAATTTACTGATATGACTTTGAGACATCGTAATAAATTACAGGTCTTTAAATCACTTTTTAATAACAAATAGAGATTCTTCTCTGATCTACTTCACCTCATTTTTACATATTTTTCTTAACCTAACCTAACCTTTTGATACTCCAGCCTAACTAACTGGAAAAAAATGTAAACTAGATATTTCCAGATGTAACAGCAGGGTTGATTCTAATCCACATTGTTGCTCCTATAATAATAGTAGGTATAATTATTTAATATTAGATGTAGATTATTCATATCCTTTAACTGTGCAAACTTCTTTTGATTAGAACAAAATTTAGTAAATTATTTTAGTTCTAAACCGTTGAATGGAAAAATATCTTAAAAGATAAAAAATAGTTCAATAAAAAAGACATTTCTTGCCCACATTGCAACCTATACAATTTAGTCACATGACGCATTATATTTCTTGCCCACATTGCAACCTATACAATTTAGTCACATGACGCATTATATTTCTTGCCCACATTGCAACCTATACAGTTTAGTCACATGACGCATTATATTTCTTGCCCACATTGCAACCTATACAATTTAGTCATATGACGCATTATATTTCTTGCCCACATTGCAACCTATACAATTTAGTCACATGACGCATTATATTTCTTGCCCACATTGCAACCGATACAATTTAGTCACATGACGCATTATATTTCTTGCCCACATTGCAACCTATACAATTTAGTCACATGACGCATTATATTTCTTGCCCACATTGCAACCGATACAATTTAGTCAAAAAATCATCGAGTAAAAGACTATTACTTTATACAAAGTAACAAAATAATATTGTATAATTAATTACATACCTAAATGGGATTTGATAGAAAGGAATTAAGTCTTTGAGTCTTGAATTTTTACAACAGAAACAATCTCAGGAATTGACGAGGGTCAACCCAGGCTGAAAAATGTTGTTTTCATAATGATCACACAAAGTGTTGTAAAGAAAAAATTCAAAGCTTCTTATTTGGCAGTTTTTAACTAAAGTATAAACTGGTGTATACAGTAAAAAACATTGAGTTTACTATTATAACTTAGAATACAAACTAACTCAACATTTAGTTGAGTAAGGTAAGTTTAGTTTTCTCTAGAAAGTTGATTATATGTTATTAATGTGAATGTCCTGTAGTGCACCACGTGATTTTTTTTATTAAAAATACCAGGTATCAGTGTAATAATTTTCTATTTAAAATACCAGGTATCAGTGTAATAATTTTCTATTTAAAATACCAGGTTATACCAGTGTAATAATTTTCTATTAAAAATATCAGGTATCAGTGTAATAATTTTCTATTAAAAATACCAGGTATCAGTGTAATAATTTTCTATTTAAAATACCAGGTTATACCAGTGCAATAATTTTCTATTAAAAATACCAGGTATCAGTGTAATAATTTTCTATTTAAAATACCAGGTATCAGTGTAATAATTTTCTATTAAAAATACCAGGTATCAGTGTAATAATTTTCTATTTAAAATACCAGGTATCAGTGTAATAATTTTCTATTTAAAATACCAGGTATCAGTGTAATAATTTTCTATTTAAAATACCAGGTATCAGTGTAATAATTTTCTATTACAAATACCAGGTATCAGTGTAATAATTTTCTATTTAAAATACCAGGTATCAGTGTAATAATTTTCTATTAAAAATACCAGGTTATACCAGTGTAATAATTTTCTATTAAAAATACCAGGTATCAGTGTAATAATTTTCTATTAAAAATACCAGGTATCAGTGTAATAATTTTCTATTTAAAATACCAGGTATCAGTTTAATAATTTTCTATTAAAAAAAAAGTAAAAACAGAAGGATCCAATACTTTTTAATTAAAAACAATTGATATTAGTTCTGTAATGTACAGAATGTTGTTCTTTATATATATATAAACATACGGTGGAACCCATAATAATAAATATAAACACATTAAGCAGTCATCTGTGTATTTGATGTTGTTTTAAAACAATAGTTTTAACGATAGCTTAAAAGTCAATTTATTAAGTGTAATGGGATCACTTTAGATAGATACCTTTACAATTGCTGTGTTTAATGTTTAAAGGACTACCTCTATTCCACATTTTTTAATCCCACTGAGAATATATATTGAGTTGCTTAGGATGAGAAAGTAAAATATAAAAAATCTCGTCTTGATATTTTTAAATTAGTGAATTTTATGAAATGGTAAGGTTTATATTTTCTTAAATTTATGAAAACATATGGAGTTTTCAGTTGTTTTAGGGAATATTATATATGTTGTATTTTTAGTTATGGAGGTTTTGCAAACAAATCACAATATTTGAGACAAACACAAGAAGAACTTGAAATGCACACATGTCAGGTATTTAGTAAAGAGAGGAAATACGTTATTGTCACAAAAACTTATTTTTTCAATTTCTATATCTTTGCACTCTGATGTCGCAGACCTGTGATTTATCAAAAAAAATATAAGTTTGAAATATCAAAGGTTCACTCCATCTGGTTGCAAAGATATAGGGATTAGATAATTTTGTGTGTGAAAATAAAAGTTTTTGTGCTGACGTCTCAGTTAGTTGCAAATCAGAAAATAGAATTTAATAAATGAAGGATTAGTGCCTCGTCAGCTAAATAATAAGTTGTAGCTTTGCTTTAATTAAACATTAAGACCTTTTCTCTCTACAATGGAAACATTAGATATTATAGATAAAAAGTAGTAATCTCTTTTTGTCTTTACCTGTTTGGATATCCGATTATAACTCATGAACTATAACGGCACTAATTTGCCTCAATTAGTGCCGTAATAGCTAGGGAAAACATTATAAACTGATTGTATATGTATACTTTGCTTGTCTGTCTGTTTATTTGTAAACAATAAACGTCAGAACGGCTGAACCGATCGAGTCTAAATTTTTCATGGAACCTCAGATGACCAAGGGAAGGATTATGGAGTTTCAAAATTTCAAAAATTTGCGTAAAAATACGATTTTCATGTGATTTTGTAAATCCAAGCAAAAGAATTTTTTAGTTATTGTTTTAAATTGTAGATATTCAAAGAGAAAATGTTAACAGATTAAAGGTTTAAATAGAATATAGGCTTGAAGCGCACTGCAAGCCTAGTTGTATATATTGGATGAGCTATGAGCTAGATGACAGTATATCTTTAATGGGAAGGCATTGGAAACTGATGAACTGTGTGTCATGAGCTATAAATATTCTCTCTGTGAGCTGTTAGCTGTGAGCTGTGTGCAGCTATGAGCTGTGAGCTGTGAGCAGCTTTGAGCTGTGAGCTGTAAGTTGTGAGCTGTAAGCTGTGAGCTGTAAGCTATGAACTGTGAGCTGAGAGCTGTGAGTTGAAGAGAATTGATGGATAGAGGTTGGCTCAACTAAAGACTGGAAGCTGGACTGTATACCAGTATATTGTATTAATTATTTGTAACAAAATATCATTGAAGAGATATATTCTGTATATCTGGTCTCATATATACAATAATGCAGAATATATTCTATATATCTGGTCTCATATATACAATAATGCAGAATATATTCTATATATCTGGTCTCATATATACAATAATGCAGGATATATTCTATATATCTGGTCTCATATGTATACAATAATGCAGAATATATTCTATATATCTGGTCTCATATATTCCATAATGCAGGATATATTCTATATATCTGGTCTCATATATACAATAATGCAGGATATATTCTATACATCTGGTATCATATATACTATAATGCAGGATATATTCTATATATCTTGTCTCATATATACCATAATACAGGATATATTCTATATATTTGGTATTGTCACAGAAAACACATCTGCATCCGCCGTTTACCATATAAAAGTCGACCTACTCAACTTAGAGTAGAAAATTTCCCGTGGTTCTCCCGAGTTCCCCAATCATAATTTGACAAAAATCTGTTAGGGGGTTCGCGAGGTATAATCCGACATTCAAACAAACACAAACAGAGATTGTTACTTTATATATATGATACACAATACAACATACAACATGTCTGTTACTAGAATTCAGGGATATGTTTCTAATCTAATTTATTTAATTATAACTACAGGGAATAATTAATATCTAATTACCGGTAATTGATGTAAAAGTCTCTGTTGGATATGAGGGGGGGGAGATTATAACTAAAATAAGTTTAATGAACATTTTACTAGAAAAATATCTAATTCTAAAGAACAAAATAAAAGACTTATCAGTGACGGAAAATGTTGTAGATATATGAAGCATACAGAAGAAGACAAAAACGAGAGTTGATATTTAAAAAGCTAAATCACGTCAAACTTAATTAAAAAATTGCACGGGGCTTTTTTTTCAATGTACCCACTATAAAGATATTTTACATTTGGTTTCCAGTCTATTTCAATATTTTTTCCTCATAAACCATTAAAAAAAATTTAGATAGTTTTCAATCATGAGAAATTAATTTTCCCAAATTGTCCTGGTCTTGTTTTGATAATACCAGTTGTGTATATTTATTATCTTTAACAATTCTATTCTAATTAAGTTTTGGATCTAGCCAGTTTAAAAATAGGACAATTTGGAGGTTTAAAGTTTGAGGCAGACAAACCAATAATTTTGGTTTAGTTCAATAATTAAATTTTGCTCAAAAGGGAAATAAATGCTTTATAAAGAGATTATTTTGGAAATAATAATATAAATAGATAAATAAATTATACAATTTTAGTAATAACATTAATTTAGGAAAGATTTGGAGAGAGGGCATCAGATGAACAATATTCCAGTAATCCAACCTCACCATCCATTTACCAAACCAAACATAGACACCATAGAACCAGCCATAGGAAACTTAGTGTCAGTTCCATAGACTTAGAGAAGAATGTGAGCGCGTTATTTCATAGAGACACTCTAATAGCTCGGCTATAATAGCTCCAATATGGTTCTCTTGTTCATCTCAAATCGGGCTCGTATTCTAGTTTAAGATTGCTCGAAGGATTTCTTTGTGAAAAAAGTGCAAAGTTAAGATTGTGTACAGTACAGTGCACAGTACACTGTACACTGTACAGTACAGTGCACAGTACACTGTTCACTGTACATTTTTATAGAACATTGAAGAAAACAGATTAAAAACAATAAAAAAGTTTTTCCATTGTTATCCTGAATTATCATACGGTTCATAATCAGTGGATATAATTAGGGGGGAAATTTTGTTATAAAAAACCGGAAATCAGGAGAATTTGTGTTCAAAAACCGGATATTAGGAAAACTTGTGTTCAAAAACCGGATATCAGGAAAATTGTGTTCAAAAACCGGATATCAGGAAAATTTGTGTTCAAAAATCGGATATCAGGAAAATTGTGTTCAAAAACCGGATATCAGGAAAATTGTGTTCAAAAACCGGATATCAGGAAAATTGTGTTCAAAAACCGGATATCAGGAAAATTGTGTTCAAAAACCGGATATCAGGAAAATTGTGTTCAAAAACCGGATATCAGGAAAATTTGTGTTCAAAAACCGGATATCAGGACAATTTGTGATCAGAAGGCGGATACTAGAAAATTTTATGTTCCACCAAGCGGATATCAGAATTAAAAGTTTATGTTCAAAAAGCGGATTTCGGATAAAAAAGGCAAATTGCAGATGAAAAAAATTAAATTACTGGAAAAAAGGAAAGAAAACAGACAAATGAAAAAGAGCATAGAAGAGGTTAAAATCTATGAAAATGGAAAGAAAATGAAAAATGAAATGTACAAGATGTAAAAATACAGAAAATAGGAAAACAGTGAAAAAGTTTATTAAACTAACAATATCTGAAGATATACAACATTTATTATAAATGATTGTATACAATTGCTGTGTTGTGTATTCAATAATTTAAAATGTACGGAGACGGCTTATAGTACTAAATGTACAATAAAATGATAAGATGTACACAGTGTGCAACTAACAACATGTCAAGATGTATAATCTACATATAAAGTGAAATGCGAAAGTTAGAAAAGATACACGTATACAGTACAACAAGAAACTTCAGAATTCAATTGGCCAGTGAGAGTTTATGATATTCAATGTATGTATTGAAATTTTCATTGTTAAGAGAACAAAAGATGTACGCTGTAAATTTGATTTGAGTTTTATTTACAAATAATAGACAAACTATGTACTAGGTTTTCCAAATCTTATCATTTCTTTGATTTTCAGTTTTTTACAAGATAATAAGATATGCAAAATAGTCAATTTAGTAGTTTTCAATTGTACTGTTAACTTAAAAGATTTGATAATTCCTTCAACGTTTATTAGATGTTTACAAAATGTTCATTTAAAAAAAATAATTCATTATGCAAAGGAGTATCACGTTTCTTGATGCCCAGAACATGACACATATTAATCATCTTCAGAAAATAAACAAGAATTGAAGCCAAAGGAATTGAGGTTTTGCAGCTACAAACTTAAATTTTCTAATCCCTATATCTTTTCACTTGATGGTGTAAAGCTGTAATATTTCAAACTTAGACTATTTAATCTGACAGAATATATAGTTTAATATCAAATGTTTGCATCATCAGGTTGTTAGGGATTACAGGTTTGTGGGAAAGACCTTATTTTCAGTTTCCCAAAGACAAATTTTATTCCCTTTTCAACTAAAAGAAAAGTAGGTCGACTTTTGTGTTTGTTTGTTAAGATATTTATGCGAGTGATAAGAGACATATATGTGTTAATATAAAATACATGATCTTGGAAACTTGGTCCATTTAATTTAGATAAACTCATTAAAACAGGGTTAATCTTTATATAAGTATATTTTCCAATTTATTGAATAATGAAAACTACGTATCCTAACTTTTCGTTTAAAGATGTTTATTAAAATCAGATAATTCCAAACGACGTGTCAAAACAAAACCCAGAGAGGGTTGATTTCTTCAATTCTAAAATATTATATTTTAAGGCAGGGTTGGAAAACATTAAGGAAATTTTTTATTTTTTGTATCTCCTGTGATGTTCAACGTATGGGAAAACTGCAAAGTGTATGCTAACGTACAGCGGGAATTCAACGAAGCTGACTTATCGCGAAAAATGAAAGGGGTACAGGCTTACGGCGAAAAATTATCGATGGTGATCGCTTCTAATCTTACATCTATTTGTAGTTTCTATGAGGAGAAAATTGTTTAAAACGACTTATACTGAAGAACGTAGCGTCCATATAAATTCAGAAAATTGCAATATTCGATTCGGATCGCAAAAAATCAATTTGATTCCAAACAAATCATTCAGATATTACAACCTATAACCATAGATATTTTTTCGACGCAATCATATAAAGTTGTTATATCAAAAAAAAATTTTATGATCTGAGAGTTACTTCTGAAAACATTTATAGCCAATTTCTCAGACGTTCTAAGATAGGTCGAACCATAGTCACACTATGGTTACGCTTTACCAAAGCAGTGTAGATAGATAGTTACGACCTATTATTGTACCTATGGTAACAAGTATAAGAAATTGGCCATTATTCATGATTCGTGGGATTTTGATAATGAAAACGACATTTTCATATTTTCCAGACATGTTCGAAAATCCAGCGCCAGCCGTGAAAGCAAGTTGTAAGCTAAATATTTTTTTTTCTCAACAAAATCAAAAATTTTATAAAAAATAACAATTATATACTCCGAGTCGAAAGTTGCAACTTTCTTAATTTTTCTGGACGCTATACGTTCTCAGTATAAATTTTCTCCTTACAGGCGCAACAGATGTAATTAAGATTAGTAGCAATCACCATCGATAATTATTCGCCGAAAGCCTAGACTCCCCTTTGATTTTTCGCGCGCGCACTCCCTTTAAGATATTTCTTGAGAATCCTGAACATTCTATATCAAATACAATTTTAAAATCTTTCAATGAAAATATTTATTTTCTGTGACTTCTAGGAAATAAATATATATAATTTTAAGAATTTATTTGTCTGTCTGTTTGTTTGCATACAATAAACGTCAAAACGGCTGAACCGATTGGGCCTAAGTTTTGTGTGGGATCTCATATGACCCCACAGAAAATTTAAGGATGCTCAAAACCACAAAAATTTGTTCTTGACTTTTGTAAAATTTTAAAAAATATTATGAAATATGTAAACGTTTTTTAAAAATATTTTACAAAGAGAAGATGCCCACAGATAGAGCCACAATGAAAAGTTTAAATAGAAGATGATCGAGCGCCCTAAAAGCCTAGTTTTAAATATCAGACAAACTACAAACAAAGTTATTCTTAATCACTAGTGAAGTCTGTCGTCCCTGATTAGTCAAATGTTTAAAGGTCACAGCTGTGAATATGGCGTGCACTATACAAATGGAAGGTCACTGGATCGAAATTAGCGCCAACAATTCCTTTAAATTGGGAAAGAGAAATAAGATGTTTGATCGCTATTTATCTTCGTTAGTAGAAGCAGACTATTAAGGAAGTTAGAAAAAACAGATTAATGAGGAAAGAACACTGTAATCTAGTTTTATATAAATAATTAAGAAAGTAAATACAAGGAAGGTGAAATACTGCAGGATTAATGAAATTAACCTCCTAGCTCTGCATGTTTACTAATTCACTAATATACGATAGGTATCATTATTTTCCCAGACTGCAGTTTACTAATTCACTAATATACGATAGGTATATAATCATTTTCCCAGACTGCATTTAAGCCTCAGATTTCAGCATTTAAAAGTTCGAATTCTATTTCAATTTATAGTTTAATATGGATATTAAGACAGAGTCCACACATCTCGTATTAGTAATTCGGTGTGCTTGGAGCAGTTAAGATATCTCTAATAAACTTGCATGATAACAATAATTCGTGCGCTAACATTATCTACTTGATCAAGCAGTATTCAGTTCATAGATTGAAATATTAGATATCTACGAAATATTTAAATAAAGCTGCAGTTTAGTATTCAGTTCATAGATTGAAATATTAAATATCTACGAAATATCTAAATAAAGCTGCAGTTTAGTATTCAGTTCATAGATTGAAATACTAAATATCTACGAAATATCTAAATAAAGCTGCAGTTTAGTATTCAGTTCATAGATTGAAATACTAAATATCTACAAAATATTTAAATAAAGCTGCAGGTTAGTATTCAGTTCATAGATTGAAATATTTAATATCTACGAAATATTTTAATAAAGTTGCTGCAGGTTAGTATTAATTTAAAGATTGAAATATTGAATATCTACGAAATATTTTAATAAAGTTGCAGGTTAGTATTAAGTTCCTTCAGACTTTTTTTGGTCATTCATTTGTCATTATGGCCAGAAAAACTAGGAAAACTAGTCTGATTCCTTTAGTTTGGATTTGATTGTAACAGATTTTAAACTAATTTTATCTTTTGTAACATCAGGTCCTCAGTTTTCTGTGATGTAATTGTTCAATGTACTTCTAACTATCTCTGTCCATCAATCTATGATCTAACTATCTATCCAACTGTCATTACATTTATATTCTATATATTAGATATTCTTGGCCTCATTTTATACAGTGTTGGCGCTTCATTTCAGAAACTAGGAGGGGACGAAAACAAGATTAGGGTGCAGCAAAAACAATAGGAAAACAAGAATAGGGTGCAGCAATACAATAGGAAAACAAGATTAGGGTGCAGCAAATACGGTAGGAAAACAAGAATAAGGTGCAGCAATATAGTAGGAAAACAAGATTAGGGTGCAGTAAATACGGTAGGAAAACAATAAAAGGGTGGAGCAATACAGTAGGAAAACAAGAATAGGGTGCAGCAAATACGGTAGGAAAACAAGAATAGGGTGCAGCAATACAGTAGGAAAACAAGAATAGGGTGCAGCAATACAGTCGGAAAACAAGAATAGGGTGCAGCAAACACGGTAGGAAAACAAGAATAGGGTGCAGCAATTCAGTAGGAAAACAAGAATAGGGTGCAGCAATATAGGAAGAAAACTAGAATAGGTACATCAATACAGTAGGAAAATAGGAATTCGGTGCAGCATAACAATAGGAAAACAAGAATAGAGTGCAGAAAATACTGTAGGAAAACAAGAATAGGGTGCAGCAATACAGTAGAAAAACAAGAATAAGGTGCAGGAAAAACAGTAGGAAAACAAGACGACTTTTTATTTAAGTTTTAATTGTTAACAAGCTTTTTTCGAATTACAAGTTTACAAGTAAATAAAGAGTATTCTCTTTGTTTCCATGTTTTTGTGTATCCATACTGTTCAAAACCTTGATTAAATAAAAATTGAAATCACAAGTTTTTTTAATTATATTGATATAATCGCCTCGCACTCTAGGAGAACAATATTAGGGTACAGCAAATACAGGAGGAAAACAAGGTTAGGGTACAGCAAATACAGGAGGAAAACAAGGTTTGGGTACAGCAATATAGGAGGAAAAAGAATAGGGTAAAGCATAGGGCAAAACTTAAAGAACAAGAATAACGTGGTGGAAACAGGAGGAACTCAAGAATAGGGTGTATCAAAAATGAAAAGGAATCTAGGGTGCAGCAAATTATGCTGTTACAAATTATTTGCATCAGCTCATAAATGTTGTGATAGATATTTACAGGCCTGGCGGAAAAATGAAAAAATCTGAAATCATTGCGCACATTAAATATCAAGTTTATTTATCCTGTATATCGTTAAACAAAAATTTTTAACCAAAACAAAAAAGAATGTATTTAACTGGTTCTTATTGGGTTTATTGAAGGCTCATGATACTAAGTTGGACGTGGATGGAGGATAAAGAATATGAATACAGAAAGAGGATTGGGACCGATTGGCAGGAGATGCAAGGGAGAGAAATACTTTAATATTGGGCTTATTTAGGTCATTTAGGCCCTTTAGGGCTATACAGTCTTGTTGACTTAATAGTCAGCTTAGTAAAATAAAAGAAATCGAAGAGGCTATTTATCAACATTTATTGAATTTTTTAAAGTGCAAAATGAAAATGAAAATGTTTTAAAATAGTTCTTAAGAGAGATTAGAATTGATTGGTTAGAAAATAAAAATAAGGTATTATAGACGAATATATGTGATCACATCATTAGGAGCGTTGTAGAGCTTCATGTTGGTGGTACACAGATCAACAGTAACTTGAACAACAGGGCTCACCCCAGGCTTCAGATTAGGGGGGAGATATCGCAGCTTATCAGTCATGGCTTGAGCGATTATTAGGTTCCTTAACTGGAGCTGTTATCATCTTAACTGTTTTATCCTGACTATGGAAGGATCGGTGGGTGGAGAGAGGGGGAGAAGGAACGTGAACTAAATGTGTGCAAACTCCGGAAAAGGATTTACATATCTCGGAACATACAGCGGCAGCCACTGTAATATACAAA